AACTAATCCAAATTTTTGAAAAAGAAAAAAAATACTTCTTCATTATGTCAAAACACAATTATGTGCCGAATTTCGTGCCTGGGCGAGGCTTCTGGGGCGATATATTGTGATTACAGACACACACACACACAGCCGCGTTTATTATTATGTATAGATGTATAGATAGGAGGTTCCACAATACCCAGTAATTTTGTGCCGCGAAACAAAGTGTAACGTAAAGTTGAAAACTCAAAACAGCGTCACGAGGCAATTGCGAATTTTCTTTTTCTTTCTTTTGCTGCAAAGAGATACGTGTGCAAATTGCAATGTGGTTGGCGACGCAGCGTTCGATATGGCTCCTGGATCTACCAAACTTGGAGGGATGGTAGGGGAATCCCTCATAGATTTGCAGTACAAGTATGAACTCGCCAGATTAATATGGTTGTCTAGGAAAATCTAGGAAGATGAATCAAGCATCGGCGAAAAGACTTTAAATTCCAACAACCGATGGAAATGTTGACAGAAAACGGGATCTTGAGTTTCAGACCGTTGCTTGATGAACAGCAGGGTCAGAGAACATTCCACCGTGCATCATATTTTAAAAAGTGAATGTGAGCTATGAAAGAGAATCATGAGCCTTTGAGACCAAAAAAAAAAAAAAAAAAAAAAAAAAAAAAAAAAAAAAAAAAAAAAAAAANAAAAAAAAAATACAACAACAACAACAATATTTCACAGTGACGTCAATCAATATATTTTTGGCTAATAAACACATTCTTCAATCCACTTACCTGACTTTAGTCCTCTTGAGCTTTTCCTTTTTCCAACATTGAAGGTTCATCTCAAAAATGTCATTTTGGTACAGTGGAAAAATCTTAAAAGGCTATAACAGACCAGATAAAGGCTATTTCAATTTCCAAGTTCCAGTTACTGCTATTAGGAGTGGAAAAAATATCGACATTGCATGGTTTCTTGAAGGAATTGTTTTGAGGAAAACAATCTTGAATTCTAAATCAACTTGAATAAAAAGTATTTAAAACAATTAGTCTCACAACTTGATTTATATACCTTGTAAAATGTCCAGTTGCTAAATAAAATTTAGTGCTTTGTGTTGAATTTCCAGCTCCTGGATAGAAAGAAATTCGAGAACGTGCCTGAGATGCTTTTGGTTATACAGTATGCAACTCACAAATCCCTTTTAGATCAGGAATTGTTGAATGAATGAGACAAATTATTCATAAAATGCTATATTTCCGGAATAAAATCACAGTGTGAGGCCTTTATATTTGTAAGAGGATAACATGCTCTGCAATAACAATTTTTATTTTGTTTTTACTTGGCACTGTAGTCTTGTTTCATACTTTGAGAATATGGTGAGTAACACTTATCACTTGAGAATCTGGTGAATGTTACACATGATCATATGTATCTGAACTGTTTAATGGTTATTTTTTTTATTATATCAACCTTTATTTTTACTAAATTTCATTAAAATATGTCCTGTAATTGTATATGTACGTCTTGAATAATAATAAAAAAATTATCTTAATTTTGGACACTTGAGAATTACATTTGAAAATTCCTTTTTAAACAAAGTAATTTATTTCATTGATGTAAAAGGGATGACTCTTAGAAATTTATAACGATTGTTTCAAATGTTTTTGAAAGAGTACACACTTTTAAATGGAAAGCGAGATTCGGAGCTATAAAAAGGGAAAAATAAAACTTGTGATAGGAAGAATTAAGACTTTTTCCTCGAGAAAAAGAAAAGAAAAAAAAACTGTTTCGTATGAGTAGTGCATAGGTTATGGTCATACAGATATGTCTTGTTCGCTATTTTTGACTTTTTGTATTTTATTTCATTATATTAAATTTATTGTGTTACTGAAAACCTAGCTTCAATGATCCATTTTAGCTATAAACACATCAAAATCTCCACTTGGTGATTAATAGTTTATAATGGGGAATAAATTGTCACAAGCTTTTTCGAATTAGATATTATTTATCATACTAATTTTAGGTCCAAAAATAGGTATTTTCTGACTTTTTTTCTCTTAAAATATATTGCTTTGCAGCTCTTTACATTACATATTTGCATTGTGTATTTATTTGCGTATATATTCGAGAATATTTATCATTATACATCGTTATCGCTTTTTTAAAAAGAAATCAACACTTTTTAATTTTTTAAATTCCAATAAAAAAATACTAATTTAAATTTAAAAAGCAAGAGTGCGCTGAACTTTTTTATTTTCAATTTATGCAGCTACTAAGTAACTATTTAGTAGCTACAGAGCACAGAGTTTAATCAGCATGAAGTGAAATAAACAAAATAAAAAAAAAAGAGAAGAATACAGTAAAAGTCAATTTATTAATAAGGGAAAAAATATTATTGTTTAACAGATTCTATAGTCTTGCTATCTGACTCAGATACTTCAAGTGATTTAGATTCAACAACTGGTTCAGATGGTATGTCAATGTCTGGAAGGAAATATGTTCTCTTAATTGGCTCTTTAGGAGGTAACCAATCTGGGATGATTTTTCCATGGATTCTCCATGCTCCATTAAGGCTAGTAATATGTTTTTCAAAAACTATATATTGCAAAGTGTCTTTTAGAGTGTCTTCGCTTCCGTACATAAGTCGCCCAAAACGATCATACACAGCAAGTGTCTCCTGTGAAAACAAACGAAGAGTAATTTGCGCAAACATATTATCTCTTTGCTGCATTTCTTGGCAACGTATATGCACAACTCTTGGGTGCTCTAAAGTCTGAATATATTTCCATTTAATAACTTTGTTCTTTACATTCTCTGTAATTTCCTATAAAATAAAAAGTTGTGTTTAGTTTTTTAGGAAAATTAAAACAATAAAATGAAAATTTATAATGCTAATACTGTGGGCCAGAAAGCTTTTTAAAATTTAAATAAAGTAAAGTACAGTAAATTTAATATTAAGAAGCATTGACACCAGATTTTTTTTTCCAGATTATATTTATTTATTTTACCTACCATCTACTGCTTTGGGGAAATTAATAATTATTTGTGAACCTCATTGATAGCAACGCAATCTTATTTGTTTCCATTCAAGAAAGAAGTTCCTTTTGAACTATGAGCCTAATATTTCACAAACAAAAGTAGTAATGAATTTCTAATGTTTTAGAACCCAGATAATTCAAAGCTGAAGTGGGTACAAAAATAATTTTTAATTTTAATCCATTAATTACATAAGCTGAATTTTTTTTGGTTTTAATGTGGGAATAGAATATGAAATATAAATTGTAACCACAAAAATACATATCAAACAAAGCATAATCAAGAATGCTAATAGTGCCATTTTCATTCAAATAAAGCAAACATGTATCTTTTTTTTTAAAAAAAAATTAATAAAAGGAATATTCACTTATAGTTTATAAGAATCTAAAGAAATGCGCATTTCATAAATCATGGCAGAATTGAGCTTATGTGGGTGGTAAGTTAATTTTCGACAAATTACTTTACCATTCAGTTTTTTAAATTCAGAATCCCATAGTTACCAAATCAAATAAGTATATATGACTATAAAAAAGCATTTTTATTTAAAAATAGCTACCTCATTATATATGTTTTTAGAAAGTATTTATCCTTGTCAGCAAACATACACTCTACAGCATTTCGAGAACACAACCATTTATGTTTATTAACATTTTGATAATCTATTTCCAATTTTTGAGATCCAAAATCTAGTGGTTACAGATTCAGCCAATTCACAAATCACAATTTTAATAATTACGAGAATTTTAATATTATAATTGAATTTAGTTTAAATAAAAGCATTAGATATTTCACTTAAAATAACATTCTGATAAACAGACACAACATATTTAGCAAGTATTTTATAAGTTTGAGTTGATAATTATAAACGAAGAAACAATCAAAAATATAGAAGTAATTGTTCGCTACTTACAGGATATGCCTTTTCAGTCACCAACTCATGTAGTTGATCCTCATCATACCTACGGCAAATTAAAGGGATATGAATTATAAGATATATATTTAAAAATTTTACATTGATTAATGGCAACGAAACATTATTTAGTTTAATTTAAAATTGTTAAAAAAGTTATCTTGACCTCATCTGTAAAAAGACAAATTTTCTTGTTATTTAACTGAATACTAAAATTTAATTTTAATCTATGATAAGTTTCTTCAGGCAAAGTAAAGCAATAAAATAGATAATTAAATTACTAATCAACTACATGAACAACAAACAAAATTTTTTTCCTTAACTAATGTCAGAGATTTTAAAAAATATATTGGGAAAAAAAATCGATGGACCTTTCTATAATACACATTGTACTAGTATAATACACATAGTAATTGAACAATATGCATCCTGAATTGAATTTTTTTTCTTTTACATTTCATTTAACATTATATTTACATTTAACTTTAAGATTGGTCACAATATGTAAATGGGAAAAATGCAAAGTGTTTCAGCAAGTCGAAAAAAGCAATGAATCATAAAAGACAAAAATGCCAAAATTTGACCTTGGTGTCAAAATTCAGTCTAGAGATCTTACAATGAATCAGAATTGAGTAAGCATAGTATAAAATCAATTTTAAAGAAACATTAAATAAAAAAATTGTAACATAACCCATAACAATTGTAAATTTTGATCTAAAAAACTATATTCTTTTTAAAAAAGAAACCAAAAGTTAGTAATACAATAAAAGTTTTATTCACACTTACTTCATTAGAGCAGTTTGTGCTTTAATATAAATATCTTTTGCATTTTCAGCAAAAGTTGGAATATCAAATTCATAGTCAGTGTTTCTGATTTTTCTTAAGGCAAGGTATGATTTCCCTTTCTTTCCAATACTATCATAAGTTTGTTTCATACCCTAATTTAGATATTATATAAATAAATATAAGTGTCATAAGGAAAAAAAAAATTCATTTAGAGATTTCTAACATTGAAGTAAGATCATTAAAAGAAGAAAACATTACAATATATCTTTACAACAAGATGGTCAAGGTATGCAGAGGTAGAAAAAAAAATCACCCTGAATAAATCTTGATATAAATATTGAATTTTCTCTAATTATATAATACAACTTAATAACTCCTTAAGCTCACTTAATTTATGCTAGTTATTAAAAAAATTGATCGAGTTCTGTAATTTGTAGCCAAATGGAGAGGGCTTCAAATTCCTTGAAATGTAAGCAGTCAATTGTCTGCCCATTTTATGAAAAATTCAGTTCAAGTTTCTATGTTCCATCATAATTCTTCATTTTATAATACTCCTTTTGCCAATATTTTAAATAATTCTGCTAGAAAAATAAACTGCAAAAACCTTAGAGAAAACCTCAACAAAAGAAAAAGAAAAAACCTTAAGGAATATTCAAATCATGATTTTTTGGAACATTTCTACTGGATCTGAATTAAACATTCTGCTTAAAATGCACCAATCAGATTCTCAATTTCCTAACGCTTATTTGTTATGTCACTTCTTTGTATAAAACACTTAGTATAACATTTAGTATAAAAAAATTTAAATAAAAGGTTTGTTTTCAAATTTTTTTTAACACAAATTATTTAAAATTTATTATTATTTTTAAATTGTTTATAGATATAAAAAAGAGAAGAACAGAATATCTTTTATTGAATTTTTTAATCTCTTTAAAAATAGGAATTGTTGACACTGCTTTAAGGTTCTGGAATGGACTGCAACAAGCTTTGTTTTAGGGAACTGATTCATTGTTTAAATGACACAGTTCTTAAGTTTTCTGTAAATCATTAAGTAATCATTTGATAGGTAGGCATTTTTATTAACGTCACACTAGAGTTGCACAATGGGCTATTGGCAACTGCCTGGAAAACATCCCTGAGGATGATCCGAAGACATGTCATCAAAATTTTGATCATCTGCAAAGGGGATGGCTCCTCTGCTTCGGTAGCTCTACTACTTGCGCTGGAAGTCAAACACTTTACCGTAGAACAGTTTAACGATAACCGAGCAACCTTGGTCCCCAGGCAGGCTGATCAAAGTGGTCACTCACTCTCTTACTGACCGAAGCTAGTGATGCTTGACTTCAGTGTTTTACTGGGAATCATGTCTTTACGATCAGTCCACTGCGGGATTATTAAGTAATCAGAGGAAATTATAAACTAAAGCACTCCCACAGTTTGTTACAGAAGTTAAAGTTGCACATTTCCAAGAGAAATGACACGTTGGTGTCAATGTGGTCACAGTGAACCAGTCCAGGTAAGTTAGTACAGATCTGTCACTTATGAAATTCACATTCATTCTGAGTACACTTGATTTCATGAAGTCACTGATTTTATAAAAAGTATACAGATAATTAGAAAAAAAGGTGGTTTCTTACTTCACATTACAAAGACATTAAATTACATGTACATTTTATTTTAATTGTTCTAATTTACAATTGAAATTTTGATTAAACATTCACAGAAGGATTTTAAAATATTGATGTATTGTTGTTCAACTAACAGAATTTGAAATTAACTATTTAACATCGCTTGAAAGTTTATAAAAGTTTTTATAACTTTTTTAAAGTTTAGTTTTTGAAAGCTTATAAAAGTTTGCATGTTTTGCATCAATGCAAGGATAAATTTGAATACATTTCAAATATATCATAGAGACTTACATCTTTCCATTTCGGCATGCCACTACTAGATTAAATTTAAAATGAAAGTTTAACTGCACCCTCAACCTTTATTCATACCTGTATCATATTAGAACACAAGAAGAAATTAGGTCAAAATTATGGAGTGGCTTCACTTATTTTGATAAAATTTTAACAAAATAGTTATTATTTATTTCTATGGTTTAACTCATTGAATATATGAGTTTCAGTTAATTGTTTCTTTATATAATTTTTTTCAACCCTACTGTAACAGCTTCAATTTTTTCCTAGCTGTAAGAGTTAATAAATGGGTGATAATCAATGAAATTGAATGATAATAGGACTTTCAATAATTTTCTTTAGCTCATAAACAGTTTTCATTTGAAATCTCTTACAATCCCCTCTGTTTCATTCTTTTTTTTAACTACGATCCTCCAATTTCAGTACTTTACTTCAGAAGTGTACTTCTTGCTTTTAGGATGGTTTCTTTTGTTCGTGGGAGAAAAAACGGGAATTTGTTGTCCTTAGACTTCACATTTATTTTCAGAACTTAGAAAATTCAAAATTTTGTGGAAGAAAACAGTACATTTTTTTACATTCTTAAAACATGCTATCCAATAGCAGAATTTAAAAATGAATTTATAAAATGGTGATAATAATGGTTTTAGCATATTTTGGCATTGTTCAGCAGAGTTCTTAGTTGTTCTTACAGATTTTATTATATAAGCGGCAGCTATTGCATCCATTGTTCTCAAGCTGGTTAAGCTTAAAGCTACCATTTTGAATAGAAGTGATTCTTCACAATGATAGAGCAGGTTAATTAAATAATAGCATGGATTAAATTTCAAATTCCTTTGAAATTAATTTATACTTCTGTCAAAGGATACTTTATGAAAACAAGATGCATATATTTAATCAAGATATAGAGAATTTTAAATCTACAATTTCTTTAAAATTTGATTTCTCAGCAACAATCTACCGATTTCGCTCAAATTTTGTATTTTGTCATTACACGGCTAAGCTTTAAAACAACATAAAAAAATTGTATACCTTAGAATTCAAAAGTCTTTTGACTATTTTTAAATAAAATAATAAAAAATAATAAATATTTACTAGAATTTATTTTTTGCATGGAATTATATTTGGATAAGAAAATTTCATAATTGTGTGCTTTCAATTCTCTTAAAACTACCAATTTGGTTAAAAAGCTCTTGAAATATGGAAAAACACGCAAAAAGTAAAATTAACATTAATGAGTACAAATTTTCGATTGTTTTTCTGACCTAACTACGGGGACCATTTTTTCCCAGATTGCAGCTACCCACCATACTTTGGGGATAAGAAATCAGAATCCTTCGAAGAAAAGGTGTGTTTGTTCAAAGAAAGTACATTTTTGATTTCGTAACTTAAAATATGGTAAGTACTAATTAATTAGCATAATTGAAATCATCTTTTCGAAGCATTTAGATTGAGTCTTAGTCCTGATCATTAGATCAAAAGTTATACAGGGTGGTCCATTTTATTTAGGCATATTGCACATTTGTGCAGAGTAAGCAAACATTAGTAAAACAATTTTAAAATTCACATCACATAAACAAATCTAACAATAATTATTAAAATAAAATTAAAGTAACATAAAATTAAATAAAACAGATCATGCAAGTAATTTTTAATATTTTTTTTAATACACATATATAAGAAATCCTTACTGGAGTTGAAAAAGTTGCTGCTTTTGCATCCCCCTCTGGGGGAATATATGCATCCACAATTGAACCTGAAAGCATAAAGAAAATTGATAAAAAAAACTTATTTAAAAAAGTAACGAAAAGAAGGTAAAAGTAAGAAAACAAAATGAAGTTGTTGGAAACATTTCTAAGAGAATTAAAGTAAATATTTCAAAAACAGAAAGCATAAAAGCATTTTTTCACCACAACATTGCAGTTTTATTTATATATGTGTATTACTTTTGCTAAAGCCCTATTTACGTTTAAAACAGGCTTTAGTAGAAAATATTTTCAATATTTTGTTGACGGGCAATTTTACACAAAAAGTATGCCATGTCACTGCTATAATTTTGTAATTGTACATAGATATAAAGTAAAACATTCTAAATATTGTTTTCACTTCCAGACATTGCAGTCAATGATGAGCTATTGCAAGTAGTGTGTTGACATTTATTTTCTTTACACTTTAGTTTCTATATTTTACAGGATATTTATTACTTAACGCATTTTATTCTACTTAGTTTCAAATTTTGTTTTTAGTGTATTGATATATTTTGCTTTGGTTATATTGATACAATATTAGAGAGCAATCCTTTTTGCGGATATAATCGTGTGAGCTGATGAAGAGATTATATATATACATTTTCCACTGCATTTTTAATAATTTTTTTTAAAAATAATTTTCTTTTTCTCATTATTCTGTAATTTCTTCCATGTTTTCCCCACTTTTTGAACTATTTTATGAGTCTTATATACTTGCAGCTTATGTGCAGCAAATATAACTTATCAATTTTCTTAATTTTCTTCGTCTTTCTCTTTGTTCTTTTTGTATTTATTTATTGGGCTATTTTGTATGTATATATATATATATATACATATACACAATCTAATTCCTTGCTTTTGTCTTTTTCTGTTATTAAATATATCTTTCGAAAACTATTATCTTAATCCTTTTACTTGTTCTATCATCTCTTATGACTTAAAGTATACTGGAAAATTTAGTTCTTATGTAGCCATAACTTTAAAATCAAAATGATCCTATTGTAGAGTGAAAAAAACTTGATTTGCTTCCAGGTATAGTAAACCTTAAGTAGATTCCCAAGTATTTAAAATTGCAGCAATCAAAATTTTTGTTTCTATTATTATAACTCGGAATTTTGAGTTTTACTTACAGAAAATAATAAAACTATAACAAGTTGAAAATAGTATTATATAATAGTTTACTGCTACACAATAAATAAATTACATTCATAATCAATTATATGTTTTCCAATCCAAAAATTCATTAATTGCAAAATTACTAGTTCATTAATTACAGAACTTCAAGTTTAGTTAAATTTAGTAAGTTTTGTAGCTCCTATCAAAAATATAAATTGATTAACAAATAGAGAGGAAGGGATTGTGGAAATTAAAGATTTTGATATCAATCATTTTAAGAATTGAACTTAATGACTTTTGTAAAAAGTTACATGTATACTAAATATTTAACAATCAGAGAAATAATCCTTTGTTTGGGTTTTATAAGTTTTATTACATCGATAAAAATTAAAAATATACCTAAACAGCTGACGTGCATTGGCTTTTCATACCATGGCCTATTGGGGAGAATACCAGATTTCTTTAACTTAGCTTTCACTTCATCAATGGGAAGATCTTGGTCTCGACGCTTTTCATCATAATCAGGCAACTCAATTTTTTGAAACTATTAATAAAAATAAAATAAGATTAAAAATTCAAAAAAACACAAAACACTATATGTGAAAATTTTAAATATGAAATTAATAACTTTCAAATAATCATAATTGGCATATTCAACTAGTTCTATCATCAGATAAGAATTTCATGCATACTATAATTTTCTTACATATAAGTAAGTTCATGCATAAATCAAGATTCTTTTTCTTTATTTATATAAAATTTTTAAATAGGGATTTTTAAGTTTATTTAGCATGACTCTACTTTTTGATTAATTCATAAAGAAAATTATAGTTTAAGAGATGTTTCTGATAATATTTCTTCCTCTTCCTACCCCCTTTTTAATATGACAGTGAATAAATAAATAAGAGACTAGTCTAAATTTTTTTTACCATATTGTGTTTCCATATTTTTTGAGCTGCATGATAGTGCACTAGTTGCACACTTCGAGTAATGTTACAAATATTCATTAATAAAATCTATTTAAATAATTAATTTAATTTTCTTTATTTGTATATAATTCCAACAGGGTAATTTGTTTTTAAGCATCTATCTTTTTAAGAGTCAGACAGGTTGGATACTGGACATTTTTGATTTTGTTGAACTTTTCAGGATATATATTTTTTTTTATATAAAACAACACATGTTTTTTTAAATTTTATTTTGGCAACATTTTTTTCTTTAAAGTTTTGGGGGTTCAAGCTGAAGATCCTCTGGAATTTTGGGAAAACCACATGAATTTTAAAGTGCCAATACTTTTTGTGAAATGAGTGAACCACACCAATGATCGTTATTTTATGCTCGACTATTTCTTCACAAACTATTAGAGAATAAATACTTTCAGTGGACCTTTGAATCAAAGGTTAAAAGTAATTCAAAAATCTTTGAAAAAATACTATTTTCTTAGACTTTGACCATCAAAGTCTATTTGTGCCAACAATGAATCTTAAAAGTATTTCTGTGAACACATACTAATGAGGAGTGCCAAAAAAAAAAAAAAAAAATCAACATATGTATGGTGTATATTTGACCTGGCCTTAAAATAGTATGAAACTGAAATTGTGACCACCTTTCAAGGCTTTTAACTGCCTTCCCTCAAACTAGACAAGAATGAAATTTACTGGAAAAGAAGTCTTAAGTATAGCAGAAACAAAATCAATTCACAGATCTACGGCTACTAATTCAACTTTTATATAATATGGCCCTAAGCTTTGAAGCCTGCATTTAATTAATACAGAAATAGTAATTAGAAAGCTGCAAATTGTTTAAAGAAACTTTAACTAAGCCTAATATGAGTATCTGAAGGTCGGGATAGCCAGGCCAGTAGTAGGGTGCTGGGCCCATTTCCAAGAGTTCGTTGGTTCGATCGCCGCCGGTCGAAGACTCCCAGTGTAGCAAATGGTGATTGATGCAGGTTAAATCTGTCCAGTCGCAAAGTCCTCCAGGTTCCCATAACATATCAATACCTCTGCGGGTACTGATCCAGGAGTTTCTTTGTCTTCTGCATTGTTTCAAAATTACAAGGCTATGGAGCTGAACATTAGTGGTCGTAAATCCAAAAATTGGGTCGGCTGTTCAACGATGGATATAAAATAAAAAAATATGAATATCTGAAGTTAACCCTTTCTCCCAAAGTGAGCTTTAGTCTCTATTTAGAATTTACTGAGGGCGAGGAAGCAAAACCTACTCTTTGCTTTCTATTCTAAGTAAGGAATATAATATTCCCCATGTAATTTTTTATACTGAATCGAATGAAATCACTAGTAAATCAATAAATCTCAGAGTTAAGAAGTTTTAGAGCAAATTCTGACTCATACATATCTATGCATTTGACATTGCTATCCAGGCAAGTAAGGTATTAATCCCAATGCATTTTTAAAGCGATTGAAAGGAGCATTTTAATTCACTAACAGTTTATAAGTTAAAAGAGATTTGAGTGCAAGAAAGAGAGTTTTACACTTTTTTGCACATATCTACTTAAATCTTTTAAATTTAGGTTTTCCTATCAGCACATAGGACTGCCTTCCTTTAACATAAAAATTCTTTCAGATGTTAACTAAGTGATAATCACCAATGAATGTTACAGCTTAATGCTAGGTTTCAGACCTTTGAAATGTTTTTAATAGATAAAAAATTAATATGGAGTAAAATACCTTTTGATGTAACATAGTTTAATGAGTTATATTGAATAAAATAGAATCAACATAAGTGCAGGTTACAGTTCATTACACCTTAATTTAACTAAAATTTGGTAAGCACAAAGTCACCCTTGCTTGAGATTACTTTGAGCATGTTTCAAACTGCAGCAAACAAAGATAATTAATCCTGATAGGGATGTTTATTACATGAAAACTGCTTTTCTTTCAAAGTGTTATAATGAGAAGATTCTTCAAGAGAGTAAGACTCCAGCAAAGATCCAACATAAGAAATCTAAAAACTACAAAAATGACATTGGCAGAAATGAATGCTGACTTCTGTACATGAAATTAGCATAAAAAAAAATAAATACAGTAGGGAACCGATTATCCGGAACGATCGGGACCATCGCTATTCCGGATAACTGATTTTTCCGGTTTTCTGAGTCGCTACAAAAAGCTGTTTTTTTATTGCTAAACCCAAATAAAAAAAAATATTTTTTTGAAAATAATCTTAAAAAGAAGAAAAAACGATGGAGTAATACACTAATGGATGGTAAGGTAAACATCTTTCAAAAAAGAAAGAAAAATCCAAAAATCTTATGAGGGAAGAAAAAATTTTTTTTTTAAAATGGAGGGAAAATTTATCGAATTTCGTTCCGGTTTTTTGGTTTTCTGATTTCCGGATAACGGGTACTGTACTGTAACAACTTCAGAACAACAAAATAAATTTATGTAGCACTCTAGAGAATGAAAATGACTAAAAATAATCAAACAAGGAAATTATGAAGAAAGAAAATGACCGAGTAAAAAAGCTGTTTTAAAATAATAGGCATTTGGGGACTCTATGATTCATCCTATCCTTTTGCATTGATTTCAAAAATTAAAATATTACAATAGGGCAGTACAAGAAATCAATTTTTTGTAATAATAAAAAATAAATAAAGATGTTTCTGAGATTTCCTAATGAGCACCAGAAGCACTTTATCTATTTTACTGTTTTCATGCAGATTGCAATAGCCAGGTAGGTAAGGCATTGGGACCATGGCCAAGAGGTCAGGAGTTCAATCCCCGTCAGTCGAAGACTCCCCATGTAGTGAATGGTGCACGTTAAATTTGTTATGTCACAAATTCCTCCATGTTCCCATAACAAATTAATACCTCTGGGAGTACTGGATTTGAGATTGATTATTCTCTGGTTCAGGTGAAAATTACGATCTGTGGATGAATGAATGGGTTTGCCCTATAAACGGGCTGTGATGTGCGCGTGTGTGTGGTTGAAGTAGTGTTCTTAAAGGTAGCTATAGATAGCACCACTGAAAAACAAGAAATGCACTCTCTGCCTTAAATTTGCTTGGTTTTATCAAACAAGCATGCTGGTATTTGGTAAGTCATATTAGAAACAACAATAAAGCTGTTTTCATGTCTTTATGCTTCACAAATTTTATTAATAATTTTATGTATTAGATTTAATTCTTACTAAGATTAACATTTATATCTATATTGCTTTAGAAGTTCTCAATATAAAATAAAATCATGGGATCAAACTCATTCTTTGTAGGGTAAAATATTATCAGAGATCTCCTTTAAAATAAAAAAGGGAAGGGTGCTTTATGACAAACAAGGACCTTTTCAGTTTTGAACAGGGTTGGGTTTTTGACGTCAAAAAGTGGTTTTTGACATGACAAGGGTATAATACTGAAGTTTGCCAAGAAAATATATAAACTTCAAAACTACCAACAGTTGCCATGCATTATATTGAAATTTAATTATACTATAGGTAATCAGCAGGTTTTAAAATATTTTTTAATTAAAATTAAGGTAAAATAACAGATTTAAAATCTCAGAAATTTATATTCAAATGCATGTGCAGAAAAATTTTGCACAAATTTTTTTTAAATATTTATATTTTGAAAAAAAAAATTTTTTTTTTGATACTTAAGAAAATTAAAAGTTTATTACTATGCATTTTTGACATATAAGGAACATATAACTAATATTTATAAGGAACTTACAAGTTATGTTGTATAAATACAAACTTGATATAAGATACAAGTGTATAAAAAATTTTTTTTAATGTTATACCGAATATCTTTATTATCCAGTATGTTAATTTGAATTTAAAAGTAGTTATATTTGTGAATAATGATAAATATAATTCATATTGTTTATTATATTTATTTATAATTATTACACTTATCATTTTAAAACAATTTTTATCTCTTAATTTTTTTTTCTCCACTTGTATTAAGAATACAAATAATGCATATCTTGAAAGCAAGAAGTAATTATTCAACAGCTGAATATTTAGATATTCAACAAAACTATATAGTATTCAGCAAAATGAAATTCACAAGTATTTGGATAAACTAAATTTTCAGCATAGTAAATGAATAGGCTGAATATACTGTAAATCGACACTAACTACTCTGTGTATTTAACAGAAAGCACTTAAATTTGTATTGTCTTATGTTAAAAAGATTATTAAGAAGATTTAAAAGAATATTAAAAAGATTTTTCTTTAAAAGATGTCTAATGTACAAAACTGCTAATGTTTATCTTTAAAAATGTCTAATTTTTAGTATAATCTATACTATACACTAAATTTGGTTATAAATAAATTTCTTAATAATATCACTGCAGATTTTCAATAACACATGAAAATGAATACATAATATTACAAAAGATGTGAGCTTTCAAAAGTACAAGATTTTGGTTACTATTCAAAATATAAGTGTTTCTTCAAAATTTTAAATTTATTTTTTCTAGAACATATTTAGAAACACTATCCTTTATAAAAAATATATAAATTTTATGTATTAATTAAATTTCACATATGAATATAGGTTTTTGACATTTTCGACATTTTTGACAGTGAGGTTTTTGACGTGACGGTTTAAACCATGGTTTAAACTGTCAAAAACTGTCATATGTCAAAAACCTGCCAACCCTGGTTTTGAAGGGCACAAATCTTGCTAAATATATTAATTATATCTAGCTAGATTAGTGCTATTTAAAACAGAATTAAAAAATACTCAAATAAATATGAGAAATAATAGTATTTTATATGGCCTTAGTCTAAAAATAATTTCTACTAGTTATGGTAATCTGAAGTTCCTGGTTTCTGTTAATAAACCCGATTAAAGTAAAAAGAGAGCATTTTATTTCTAAATTAAAAAAAAAAGAAAAAAGGAACAACATATTTTCAAAATGGGGCAAGCAGGTTGCATTTACCACTGTAAAAGGGTAGGCAGGGTGGACCACTCTTCTAAAAATGGTTAGGGAAAACATGATATTACCACTTTATGGACACTTATATAGCTGAAATGTTTAAAATTTCAAAATCCAATCTAATTATTATAAAATTTAAAAATTGTAAAGATGAGCATTAAAAATAACTTTATTACTATATCTAACATTGAATTGTTTGTAATGTATAAACTAAAATTTTATTTTTCAAAAATATATTAAATATTTACTTTTTCTTTTCTTTCTCTTTTAAACTTAGGATTCCAATGTTTATTTGAAGCCTGTCTGCTTTGAATGTTGAAAAACACAGGTGGCATAAAAAGGATAGAGAACTTTGATGCATTCCTATACATAAGGCTATTACACTGCAACAAATAACAGATTTGATTAAAATCATATTTTGACAATACTGAAGGTCATTTAAGAAACTATAAGTACAAATATAAACATATTCTGTTGTTCAATAGTTTAAAATAGATGTCTAACTTTAAAGAGCATTAAAACTTCTCTCATATAAAACTTTGCTTTTTCTTTAATAATTTTTTTAAATGTAAAATGATAGATTATTGTCTGTTTGAATTATAAAACCTTTGTAGCTAAAAAAATATATATCCTACTTTAAAGAGCATTAAAACGTCTTTCATATAAAACCTTGCTTTTTCTTTAATAATTTTTTAAAATGTAAAATGATAGATTATTGTCTGTTTGAATTATAAAACCTTTGAAGCTAAAAAAATATTTTATTAAACTTTATCGACAACAGTTTCTTCTTCTAAACACATTGAATGCTATGGGGGTCACTGGTGACCGGCACTGAGTCTGTTTGTAGCATCACGGTCACCGGTGAAACCAAGATTATTAGAAACACATAATTCGAGTATATGTTTAATTTTTTTATATTATTATCGCTACTAAAATGGTTTGAAGAAATTAATGCAATATACAACACACAAAAATTGTTTTATTTATATACACAGAGATGCCAACTTGCTCCGGACAGCGAATAAATATTTTCAAATGGTAGATTATTAATTGTGATTCTTGGTTTAATAAATTCAATTTACTAGATTTCATCCACCATTATTTTTAAATAATTTGTAGGTTTATATAATTCCGCACTTTTTTCTTATATGTTATGCTAAACCTTTGAAAAAACTAGCAAAATCTCTCTAATATTTGCAAATTTAGTTTGTCGTTATTTAAAGTTTGGCCAGACGGGCAAGCCATGTAAAATTAGCGTGGCATTAAATGAGTTAACAACATGAGTTGATTCTTTAGTACTATTGAAACTTCCTTATTTAAAAATCTGCAAACCCTCCAACTTTAGACACCAGGTTTATAGTAGTACTTATGCAATTTATAATTTAGAATCAAATATCTTTTACCCACGAAACTATATACATAACATACATCAAATCAGTGACAAATCGTAAGAGATTACATTGTACATTTTAGCATGCATTTATGGGATTAAAATAATAATAATTTTTCATGTTACAGGAAAGCAGAAATAGCTCTTTAGTCTAATTACCAAAGATCATTAGAAATTTGTACTGTGATATAAAGTAAAATAGCAGTAAAATTTCGCCGATTTTATGACTTTACAATAGTATAGGGAAGATTTCCATAGTAGTATCTATCCCAAAATAATTTCCAAAACCACAACATATTTTTTAAAAACAAACTCTGCAAGTTAGGAAACCCGTTGGTGACTTGAGGACGTTAGTAAGAGCGATCTATACGGAAATATCCCAGTACTTAAAATTCCTTATTTAAACTATTAAAAAAATGAAAATAAGCACATCAAATTCTCATACAAAAAACTAGCATAAAATATAGACAGCACTTATGAAAAATATTCGAGAAAGGAAGCACAAAATATTTAATATTAATCTTCAACTGCACATTTTAAAAGCAATTTCATCAAAGAAACATATAGTATTACCTTTAAGTTGCGAATAATTTGATGAGCCATATTTTTTAAGCGTGCGAGATCCAATAATAATATTATACTATAAATATATTATTTAAACTGTGTGGCATTTAATTATTACAAACATAACATAACATTAATTGAAAAAAAATAATATACAGATAAAACAAGAAATTCATTCAAATAATTTTGTTTGAGCTTGCCAATGCCTTGTTGCTCTTCGTAAAATTGCTCAGCTATTTCAAATAATAAAACTGTTGCTTGAAGCTTGTATAGAAAAGAAATACATTAAAGAAGATGCGACGAGCTTTTCTTGCTACGCTCAGATGTCCTTATGTGTTGCGACGTCACTGCTAATGATCCATAAAATTAGGGGTTCTACATAAAATTAGCTTGTGTTATGGGCTTGTAAATAAACCTGAATGATTTTTATCGTTATGTATAACAATATTTTTTTTTAAGTGAAATTCTAATGCGGCTTCATCACCGAAGTCAAGCATCACTGGCTGCGGTCAGTGTGCGGGTGGGTGACCACTTGGATCAGTCTGCGTAGGGACCGAGGGTGTGCGGTATTGGTCCTCGTTAAACTGTGCTACCGTAAAGTGCTCGCCTTCGCGCGCAGGTCGTCGGGCTACCGAAGCGGGGGTGCCATCCCCTCAGCAGAGGATCAAAATTGTGATGGCATGTCTTCGGATCATCCTCCGGGATGTTTCCCAGACCGTCGCCAATAGCCCATTGTGCAGCTCTAGTGCGACGTAAATTAACAACAACAACTAATGCGGCTTCCCTATATTTAGTCGCCTATATTAGTCCCTGGCAACGATAAACAAAACAAAACATTAATAACAAGAAAAAGTCGTTTGGTTGCCTAGCAACCAGCTAGAGCTGCAGTTATTACATCAGCAAACGATTTAAAACAATTATTCAAACTAACTGTTTATTGATGACGGAACATCTTTATTGCCACTATCTAAGGCTCCTATACTAATTCAGGGGCTCTACCACTATCCACTGCAGGTTCACAAGCTCTGGCAGACGTTACTGGTGAAGAAATTGATTACTGTGAGCGGCCTGTGTTCCTTGCAGGAGATTTTAATGTGAATTTCTCGTTACCTGAAGCTGAAACATTATTAACCTTCATTAAAGACAAATTTGGACTGGAAATGATAAATGGTAGGAATGATCCAACAACCAAGGGGGGAACTACAATTGATGCGGTTTCTGCAAGAAATATTGAAAAAATAGAACTCAAACATTTCGTATCTTACTTAAGTTATCATAATCCCATTGTAAATGTTATAGATTTGGATATTTCTCCACTCGAAAATGATAGTTAAAAGATGCGATCAATTGTGAATTGTGAGCAATGTTAATAAAGTTTGTATTAAAGAATCAATATGATTTCACTAAAAATCAATTTCTACCCCTTCCTATTTTCATTTCCACATTACGAGGTTTCACTTCTTCCGCGCGAAGGGACTCCTCGTACTATTTTTATTTGTAATTAATTTTTTTAAAATTTATTTTTAAAAAAAAATAATAACATTAAAGTATGTGTTTTGGGTGCTACCCCCCAATATTTATTAAAGAAATTAATGCTTATTGAATTGAACAATTCACCGTCGCCAATAGCCCATTGTGCAGCTCTAGTGCGACGTAAATTAACAGTAACAGCAACAGCAACAACAATTGAACAATTCAAAAAATTTTTCAGCCCTAATTTAGATCAAATTTTAACCAAAAAATAAATCTATTTGAAATATTTATTATAAATTATTGAATAAAATTTTTTTAAGTTTCTTGCCTATTAATATTAAAGATGGGAATAAGCTTATCAAAAATTATTTTTAGAATTTTAAAATTGCAAGTAATTGTATATGTTTAAAATTAATGTAATTTTCAAAATTTTTACATTTTTATATGTTTTTGATTAATATATATAGTAAAATACACTGCCCACCAAAAATTGAAGTTTAACCCGTTTCCTGTTTCTAATTCGAAAACGAATAAATATAGTATTAAGAGATTTAGGGAAAGGGTGCAGTTTGTGCCAATCAAAAAAGAAATGTTAACATTTCTCTCTTTCATTGGGTTCTTAGAGAAAACAGAACATTACAGTCTAAAGTGGAAAATTTTCTTTGAAACATTGTAAAAATTATTTTAATAAAAAATGTGGTCTCTCCTAACTAGATTTGGTGTCATCAACTTTCCATGCCACCACTTAAAATATTGAAGGGCGAAATGAGAAGTGAGACCAAACCAGGGTGCAGGACTCAAAGCAATAGTCTTGAGCAGTCAACCAGATTCTTGCCAGGAGAAATAGATGGCCAATTCCTAATGACATGGATTATATTTGTTTCCCTGATAACTTGGATTATACTCGTTAAAAAAAAATAATGGTTAATCTATGAGAAGGTGACGTTGATATAACGCATTTGAGATAAAACATATTTGATAATTAGCGATAGTTCAACGTGATAGGGAAGCAAAGGTTCAATTAAATAAAAGGTGAATTTTTAATGTTTTCTAGCTACTGATATCAATAAGCATCAGATTTTCCCAAAAAACACATATTTTGCGCCAAAATTTATAACATTGTAAAGATTATGTATGTAAATTGGTTTTTAAACAGCAAGAACACTCTGAAAATTTTAAATTGTGCTTAAATAACCTAATTAAAAAATAGGTTTTAAAAAGGGTGACAATTATCATGAAATCCTTTTAATTTAGGGTTTTAATCATTTCCTTGCCAAGTTTATTAATATTCTCAATAGTTTCCGAATTTATTTGATGCTCCCATCTGGAGGAGAATTTTAGAATTTCATAATATTTTAAACGGCGAGATTGGTTTCTATGCGAGAACGTACGATTTATCTAAAAATACTGATGTATATTTAGAATTATTTATAGCAAATCATTCAAAATTTATATTTGTCCAAAAACAGCAATCATGGAAGCATAAATTACGCCAACATTACCAATTATAAAAATTTGCTTTGAGTAGGGGGAAAATGTGTTATGAAAGTATGAATAAATTACTATCCATATTACATTGTCTTTTAAAGACTTAATTAAGTGCTGAGCATATTGCTCTTTCATAAGCGACACATCTTCAAGGAAAACAAATCTTTATTATTTTCATTTCCATGCTGGCTTCCATGAGTAAGGCTGATGCAATGGAGGTTGAACTTGATCGCCCCAAAGATAAATATATTAGAGCAAGTCTTTTAAATTGGGATGCAAGGAAATTAGATTATTAGCGATAGTTTAACCTGGTTGTGAAGCGAAGATTCAACTAAATAAAAGGCGAATTCTCAATATTTTTTAGCTACTGATGTCAATAAGCTAATGATGCCAACAATTCTAGCTAATTTCTAGCTAATGATGTCAGCAAATTTTTCAAAAAGAACACATATTTAGCTCAAGAATTATAACATTGTAAAGATTATGAATATAAATTTGTTTTTAAACAGCAAAAACACTCTGTTCTTTTGATTGCTTTATGCGGACCTGAGTAAGACTAGCGCAATGGGGTTGAACTTGACCGCCCCAAAGATAAACATGCGAGAGCAAGTCTTTTAAATTGGGATGCACATTATTTTTTTTTTGTTATGTGCCATTGCGGTATTCGATGTCAGTTGTTGCATATAGGGGCCGAGATAGCCAGCCTGGTAGGGAGTTGGACTCGTGCTCGTGAGACTGGGAGTTCGAAACCAGCCGGCCGAAGAATCTCCGTGTATTAAATGGGGACTGCTGCATGTTAAATCTGTCGGGGATACAATGTCCTCGAGTTCCCATAACAAATCAATACCTCTGGAGGTACAGATTCGGGGGTTCTCTTGTCTTCTGAATTGGGTTCAAAACTACAAGGCTACGGAGTTGACACAATTTTTGTCAGTAATTTTTAGTCGTAAACTCAAATTTTGTCAGCTGTTCAACGACGGTTTTAAAATTAAAAATGCTGCACATGGAGCCCCAGTGGCTCATAAGATTAGAGCGCGTGCCTCTCCGTGAAATGACCCAGATTTTCAATTCTCAGCGACGGCTGCTCGGTGCGAATTGTGCAACCGGCTCGCAGCGAAAACAGTGCTGACGTGAAATATTTTTAGTGGTAGACGGATCATGGGTTGGAATCCCCTTGCTGTCAGGTTAACCATGGGGTGTTCTCGTGCTTTTTCTCTTGATGTCATGCAAATGCGGGTTATTTTCCAAAAAAATTCCTCCCTGAAAAGAGACATTTCTCCCAATACTTGATCCAGGAATTACCTTGTTTTCTGGATTGCGCTCAAAATTACAAAGATACGAAGTTGAGTGTAGGAAGAGGTAAATTTAAAAATTGGGTCGGCTGTTCGACGGCAGTTAGAAAAAAAATTTGTTGCATATGACTTCGTAATTGCGAAACGAATTCATGATTGGATGTGGTTGACTTTGCGTCACAAATGGTAGGCGTAATGGAGATCCATATATGAGTTCAATTCAAGAAGAATTTAAATCTTCGTTGATGGCAGTTCTTATGCCCAGTAAGACTACTGGAATTGACTCATGCTATCAATCATTTTCGTGAGCTTTAAGTGCGGACTTAAAATCTCTGAGAAAACGTTTCTCAATTTCGTTGGAAATCAGATAGCAATAAAGCTTTTAAAAGTTTAAACTGCTCATTTAGTTCTTTTGATGCTTATAGAATATCATTCAGAAAATAAAAAAAATATCTGATAAAGTGAATTCATTGATAAGCCTTTTAAAAGTAGCACTAGCATTGAACAGTCCAAATTGCATCCTCAAACTCTCAAACAGACCGACTGGGGTGCATATTGAAATCTTGGGAACGCCTCCAGAAACTATTGGAATCTGATGATAGGATGCTCAGGGAGTAGAGCACTCGCCTTCCAATGATGTGAACCGGATTCGAATCGCAGCGACTGCTGATTGATACGAATTCCGCACCGGGCTCACACCGACCACATTGCTGACGCAAAATACCCTTAGTGGTAGACGGATCATGGGCTAGAATCTTCTTGCCACAGACTAACTGTGAGAGACTTTCGTGGTTTTCTTCTCCATGAAAC